GCCTAGAAAATTCTAGGCCTCAAGGGATCAGGGCTGGTCACTCCTTCCCATCTCCTTTCCCCTTTGGGGTCCTGGATATTACACCCACAAACTACCTCTGGGTGCCATTTAACTGCATTAATGGCCGGGATCCTGAGACTTACAAATGAATCTTGGAACTGAGCAGCTCACTGCAGAGATTTCTCCAGACCCGAATTATTTAAAATTTCAGAATTCCAGGAGCACGCAGTCACAAAAGTGGCCATGCCACATCTCATGCTCTTCAAAACAAGCAATGCAAAATTAATTATCTAGCCTCTGCCTGTGGGGCAGGCTGGAGTAGGTGGTGGGAATATTCGAAATGGTGGAGGGATTGGTGTTGAGATAATGAATGCAAACAATTATGGTGTAGCACTGTAGCGCTGTCCTCCCATTGTTCATCAATTTGCTCAAGTGGGCACCAGTAACATCTCCATTGTGAGACTTGTTACTGTGCTTGGCATATCGAATACGTCACGGGTAACTTGCTAGGCTTTGCCATGTGGGCGTGATACTCTCGGTAGCTTGCTGGGATCTCTGAGAGAGGTGGAGAAATTGAACCGGGGTCAGCCAGGGTTGGCCGTGTGCAAGGCAAATGCCCTACCCACTGTGCTATCGCTCCAGCCCAATTGTGAACAACTTATGAAAATAAAAATTTAAAAAAAAAAGGGCTCAAGAGAGGACTAGGCCTTGGGAGGCAGACAGTGGGAGAGTCAGTGCCATCCCCTCTGGTGGGAGACTGCTGCACCCCTGGAGACTGAGCTGTCTCCCAGGAGTCCAGAGCCCGGTCATCATCATTGTCATCCTGCATCCAACCCTAAGCCTGAAATTCCCCATTGCCAAGACCGGGGATGGGGGAGGTATCACGGATCCCCCAGAAAGTGGGCACGGGTATTTGCTCTCTCTGTTTCTTGACTTCTGGGTGGAGGTGGCCAGGGGCAAACAGGGGCCCAAGAGAGGAGGAGGAAGTTGACAGACCTGGGAATAGAGGCTGTAGCTAGGCCTGAGAGCAGAGATCATGGGGCAGAAATGGGGTGGGAGGCCCTGTGCAGAGACTCTTGGATAAGTCTCTTTGGCTCCTGGTGTTGGAACCTTATATGACTGACACCCAACCACGAACAACCTCATAACTGTGTATCTCTGTAACTGTGTAACTGTGTATTATAACTGTGTATAAGTCTCTTCAGCTCCCGTTGGAACCTTGTATGACTGACACCCAACCATGAATGACCTTGTAACTGGGATTCAATGAAAAAATAAGTAAATAAAAAAATTCAATAAACAAAGTCTCTTCCGATCCCGTAGGTTCTGGGTAACAACAGACCACACACCCCCGCAGCCCACGGCCTCACTCCACCTATGACGTTGGTCCTGGTAGGCTGTGTGACAGGGCCCGACGCACTGCGGTCACAGCCCTCCAGGCGCTCTTCACCCCCACCTTCAGCAGAGTACAAGCCTCAGCAGAACTTTCCCTATCGAGGCGAATCTCAACTTTCATAAGCCCGGGCCAAGAGATAAGCGAACACCCCAGAGATAGATGCTATCAAATGAATAACACGGCCACGCAGATAAAGAATCAATCTCTCTCGGCTCATTGGAAATCACATTTGGGATAACCCTCCTCCCCCCGCCCCCAAGGTTTTCTTTCCACTGATGCTTAATTTGATTTTGTAAGATAAGGCACAAAGAGAAAGCCAAACAGTTCTATTTCAGTTTTGTGTAATCAGGGAGTGGATGATTTCAATTTAGCTCAGTCCCTCTTCCCTTTCAAACAGACCCGGAAAAAGAGATGATTCTATCTCTGCCCAGAACATGAATGATTTCCAGGTCGGGGTGAAACTAGTGAAACTAGTGGGCCAGGAAAGGCCTTCTGACCAAAGTCTGGAATCTCGGAGGCCATTTGCAACAGTTTTATATTCAATTAAGCAAAATAAAACTCGAGTGTCTATTATGGGCAAAAGCACACAGTTATTAGTTACTACAGGGCGGCGAGGGGGTGGGTGGGGGGGAAGGCAGACATTTGGTTCGAGAAGCCTCTCGTCTAAGCACTTACTTATTTATTTCCTTAAAATAGCTTAATACCTGCTCAGCCCATAAAGCGTCCGCAATGATCTTATTTTTAACTCCAAAGTTTACAGCCAAAGGGTCATTGGGGGTGGGGGCGGGGAGAGGTTTGAGAGTGATTTACAGAGCGGCAAGAGGGAAGCGTTCGTTTTCATGCTAGACTCCAGAGAGTTAGCTCAAGTCTCTCTCCTCTCTCTCTCATTCTGCGAAATGGGTTGGATTCCCAGCAAGCGCTGCCCTTGGGAGATAAAGAGCAGGCGAGGAAATGGCTCCTGGAGGCGAAACTGCCCTGAGCCAGAGCCCTGAGTGGACAGCACCCTAGGGGGGGCTCCTGTCCCAGTCTGTCTCGCCAAGGCCCCCGAGGTGACCCCCACCCTGCCCCCCACTGCTCCTGCTCTCAGCAGGCGCCCACAAGCCGCCTGAAATAGTCACCTGGTCACCCCTGGATTTCCCTCCCTTTTAGCAAACAGCGATAGCACAGCGGTAGGGCGTTTGCCTTGCGCACAGCCAGCCTGGCTGAGCCAGGTTCGATTCCTCTGCCCCTCTCGGAGAGCCCAGCAAGCTACCGAGAGTATTTCGCCTGCACGGCAAAGCCTGGCAAGCTCCCTGTGATGTATTCGATACGCCAAACACAGTAACAACAAGTCTCAAAATGGAGACATCACTGGGCCCGCTCGAGCAAATTGATGAGCAACGGGAGGACAGTGACAGTGACAGTGAATTTTCTGGAGGAAATAAAGTTCTGCAGAGACTTCTTGGTGAGCCCCCGAAGTCTCTTCTCTCTTCCCAGAGAGCCAGCCTGGCGCTGCAGGATTAGACGGCGGATCCCAGGTCTGGGGAGCCCAGAGACAAGACCACAGGGGAGGAAGGTCCTGATGCCAATGTCCTGGGGTGGAGGGTGGTGATGGCATGAGCAGGACACGGGAGAACATGCCTGTGATTCGAAGCACAGCCCCAAGCGAGCCAGACCTCTGAGACTTTGCTAACGTGCCCCCTTGCTCAGTGTTTGTTTGTTTCGTTTTGGGTCACAGCCAGTAATGCTGGTGCTTGGGGGATCATATGGGATGCTGGAATCGAACCCGGGTTGGCCGCATGCAAGGCAAATGCCCTACCCACTGTGCTATCGCTCCAGTCTCCCCTCAGTCTCCTCTTTAAAAAGAATGGCGATAGCCATGAGTTGGTCACGTGTCTTGAGTGTAATAAATGTGCCATCACATTTATTTTTGTTTGGGGGCCATACCTGGTGGTGCTCAGGGGCTGCTCCCGGGTACCAAGCGGTACCAGGGATCTAACCCAGGATGCCTGCCTGCAAAGCCTGTGCCCCACCAGGCCCAGCAAACTCTCTCTCTAAATGTACAAATGGTAAAAAAATAATAAAATTGTAGAGATAGGGGTCTGGCACTTGGGGTCCGTGGGAAGGACTCTGGGTTTGATTCCTGGCACTGCCGTCTTGCTCTCCACACCCCTGAGCATCACCATCAAAGAAACAGCTGGATAGAGACAGAGACTATTCAGGGCATCGGCAAGGTGTCTGCAAGGGACAGCCGTCGGCAAACTCATGGTCCTTTGTGGCGTGTGGCTCTCTAGAGAGTGACACCTCTCGGAGCTTTCTCTGTTCCGTCTGTTCTACTCCTAAGGTTGAGCAGAAGGAAAACAGTATCTGGAGATGGTTACCTAGATGCCCGAAAGAGGAACAGAGACTCTCCCCCCTCTCCCTCGTGGCACAAAGATTGGGAAGATGCAATGACACGTAGCTACCTGGGAATTGTATGGAAGGGGCTTGACACAGCAGCTATCATGTGAACGGGGCTCTGCGGCTCGGCCCGGGCCAGGACCTGCTGCAGATGCCGCTTCGGCCCGGCCAGCCCTGCCCGAGGGCTTCTCAGGGGCTCCAGAAGCCGGGAGTGGGGTCTTGCTCTCACGAACCTTCCCTGCTGCTCTCTCCGCTTCCCATCAGGCCAGAGCTCAGCTTCTGGGAACCCTTGACTGCGGAACCACCAGCCCCGGGCTGGGATTTCTAAACAGCGCCTCTGGGGAGGCTGGGGGCAGCTCTTCACCCTGCGGCTCAGAGACGCCCAAGAGATAACACTCCCGCTGGTCACAGAGGCTAGAGCCGGGGAGAGCGCCAAGCGCTGGCATACAGGCTTCGCATGGGGGGTTGATCGCAGTTTGATCCCTGATGCCGCACGGTCTCCTGAGCACCGCCTGGAGTGACCTCTGAGCACTAAGCTGGGAGTAGCACCCGAGCACTGCGGGGTGTGGTTCCCCCCAAACAAACAAACAGGAGGCTAGAGTTTCTAGGGACCCAATGACAAAGAGCACCAGGAGAGAGGGAGAGAGACAGAGAGAGACAGAGAGACAGAGAGAGAGAAAGAGAGAGAGACAGAGACAAGGACAGAGATAGACAGAGAGAGAGAGAGAGAGAGAGAGAGAGAGAGAGAGAGAGTGTGTGCCTGGTATGGCTTTTGTGCAACTTCTTAAGAGTTGGTTAAAGCTCCATAACTTTGGGCATCATTGTCAAAGTGACTTGGATCCTTCCGGAGCAGAGTGGGGCTGCTGGAGGGTCAAGCCGTGGCCAGCTAATCTGGAGCCAAGAAGAGAAGGGTCCTCAGAGGGGTGGGTGGGAGGGAGGTGAGAGCTCGTGTCTTCGAGCTGGGATGGCTGTGTGCGTGGGAGCTCAGCAGGGGGCCGTGGAGGGCTTCACCCCTGGGAGCTGACATCGGCTGTTCCTCTCTCCCAACTTCCCCTTCCCAAGGCTCCTGACTCAGCCTGGCCGTGGGGCAGAGCCAACAGCTGAGCAGGGAACGGGGGTGAACATGACCCCCAAGGAAAGCCAGTGCTCCCTGCCCCCGGACCCCTGCCTCCCCCCTACCCCCCCAGCCCGGTCCCACACATGCAAAGAGCAGAAGAGAACTAACTGATTTGTCTGTGGTCTTGCCCGTCAAGATGGCTCTCGCCTTTGCCTTGGTCAGCGGGAAGGACTTTATATATGAGTCATACAAGTGTTTGGCCAGAGCACGGAGGTCAGCAGATTCTGGGTTCAGCTGGTCGATATCGCTGGAGATCTCCGCCAACAGCTTCTCCTTCTCGGCCTGTGGCATCCGGCCAAATCGGATGGCTACAGGGGAAGAGAAATGACAGGATGAATCACTGAATCGCAGCCTCTCTGGAGGCTCTCTCCACCCCGCCAGCTAGAAGCCGCTTCTCCCTCGCGGCCTGCCTCCATGTGCGCTCGGGGTCCTTCCCCGGCACTGTGCCAGCGCACAGGAAACGTGCAACTACTGCCTGTGTCTTTCGTGACAAAAATATGAAGGAATAAGTGACCCCCCCCTCCCCCACCAAGGAGAAGGACTCCGTGCAAGCTCAGGAAGGAAAGTCTATTTACAGACACCTGAGCAGAGAGCAAACTCTTACGCATCCCGCAAGACCCCACTCCAGTGTCCCCTTCTATTAAAATATGACCCTGAACTGAACAGTGGCAGGGCTTGGGGTGTGAAAAATCCACACACAACTTTTTCTACTCCCCCCCAAATGTCCATCATTGGGGCTGGAGCCATAGTACAGTGGGTAGGGCATTTGCCTTGCACGCGACTGACCCGGGTTCAATCCTCGGCATCTCATATGGTCCCCTGAGCACTGCCAGGAGTAATTCCTGAGTACAGAGCCAGGAGTAAACCCTGAGCACTGCCAGGTAGACCCATAAACAAAAAAAAAAAATCCAAATGTACATCATCTTCCCTCGTAGCTGAAGGGGAATGATTTCAGGGCCTCCTCTCTCTTCCTGATGAATGCCCAAACCCGCCAGCCCTCAATTCTACATGAGCGGCCCTCTCCATGTCCATCAACTGTCCACACAACTGCTGCTTGGATGTGGAACCCAAAGGTACCTTGGATCCACACAGTCTACACCGAGCAGAACCCCAGCGTTCCTACAGGGTTGCACCAGGCAGGCAAATCCAAGGAGCAGTTTTCCTCAACCTTACTCTTGGGGGGGCACGAGAACCCCAAAGCAGGGAGCCAAGATGTGTCTGGTGGATTCATAGCCAAGATTCCGGGATTGAAACAGAAGATGAATGAGTCCATCCGCTGGAAAATTTAGGAAAGGGATCGGGGTAGAATGTGTCCGGCAAGAAGCAGGACTTGGGGTAGACCTTGGACAAAGCAGAGTCTAAGAGAGCAGAGGCTGGCAGGAAGCACCAGCCCCCGGCTGCCCCCTGACATCAGCGAGCATGACAGCGTCTCCTCGCCCAGTGATGGCGAACGCCCCGCAAGTGCCAGACATTGTTCTCGGCTCTGGTTACATGGCACTGGCAATGAACTATAAACACACAGTTTCCACACCAAGAAAGGCCTCCCCTCTACCCAATAGGTAATCAGAGAGTTAAACAAATGGCCACAGATAGCATTTATTACCTTTCTGAGTCCTGGTTTTCCGTAACTTAACAAAAGCAGCCAAAATAACTTAAAAAAAATAAATCTTAGGATGTGCAGATTTTCTAAAGTGAAAGAAACCCTTCAGTTTGAATAAAATGCGAGCTTTTAGAAGCTGGAGTCCTCCCCAAAGTTCTCTCCACATCTTATGGGCGAGTTTTCTATAGCATTAATATTTGTCCAACAAACTACTTTCAATCAGCTATCCACGTGATTATTCACAGAGGTGATTTTAGAGTTTTTATATACAAAAGAAATTTAAAAACTAAAAGCCCACTCCATTTGGTAGCATTGGCTGGTATTAGACATACAGAAATCGCACGTGGGAGGGGATATACAATTACTTGCTTATATGCATGGTAGGGGGCCACCCAGGGGATGCTCAGGGGATGCTCAGGGGACCACCGGCCACCCTGGGGTGGTTCTCAGCTGAGTGAGCCCTGGTGCAGTGTGAGGGCCCAGGATGCTGCTGCCTTGGGGTGCTGGGGATTACCCAAGTCACCTTGGGGTGCTTAGGGATTTTCCAGGGCCACACTTGGCAGTGCTCAGGGGACCATATGGTTCAAGGATCAGACCTTCAACTACATGCATGCCCAGTACTAGCCCTTACATGATCTCTCTCTCTCTCTCTCTCTCTCTATATATATATATATATATATATAATTATTTTTTTGATGGGGGCACATCCAGCACTGTCCAGGGCTTCCTCCTGGCTCTGCACTCAGGAGTCACTCTTGGTGGGCTCAAAGAACCCTGTGGGATGCCGGAGATCGAACCTGGGTTGGCCCCGTGCAAGGCCATGTGCAAGGCCAATGCCCTCCCCAGGCCCTCTTCCGATGTTTATTTTTATTTTTCTCTTTTTGGGTCACACCTGGCTATGCACAGGGGTTACTCCTGGCTTTGCACTCAGGATTACTCCTGGCAGTGCTCGGGAGACCATATGGGATGCCGGGGATCAAACCCAGGTTGGCTCCATGCAAGGTAAATGCCCTACCCACTGAGCTATCACTCCAGCCCCTCTCCAGATGTTTTTAAGGGCAATAAGGCCCATTTTCCTTTGCAGCCTGTGAGTGCCACGTGGTAATGCTCACTCGGATGGGAACAGGAGACGTCAGTACAGGGCAGGGGCCTGGGCTGTGTGTGACCAACACGGGTCTCAGGCTGTGTGGATGAGGTAAGGAGGCTGAGGGAATCTAGGACATACTGACCTTTCTTCCACACAGGTGCTTTGTGGAGGATGGGCCCCTAGCCCCAGTCCTGTTCGGCCCCCCCAATCTCTCCACTTATAACTTAGTTAGGGAATGACCTTTTCAAAAAAGCAATTCTTGGGGCTGGAGTGATAGCACAGTGGGTAGGGCGTTTGCCTTGTACGCAGCCAACATGACCGACACAGGTTCGATACCCAGCACCCCATATGGTCCCCTGAGCACCGCCAGGAGCAATTCCTGAGTGCATGAGCCAGGAGTAGCCCCTGAGCATCGCCGGGTGTGACCCAAAAAGGAAAAAAAAAAAAAGCAATTCTTGGGGGGAGAACCTGAGGGCTGAAAAGCCCTGGCAGTGCTTGAGGGACCCTATGGGCTGCCGGGATCAGACCTGAGTGGGCCAGGCACAAGGCACGACGTGCGTTACCCACTGTACTCTCTCTCCAGTGAATTCCTCCTCAGGATCATTGCTCTCTTCCTCCAGCTGAAGTTGGAGCTGAGAAGGGCGACACAAAGATTCTCTGGGTGCAGAAATATGGCGGCTGTGTGTCCTCTTACAAGTCAACATGTGTGCACCTACATGTGCTCAAGAAGCAGAGGGAAAGTGCTCTGCGTATTCCCAGGAGTTGCTAAGGGACAACGTTTGGCCTTTCTAGGAGGACACGGATGGAATCATGGTGCTTGAAGCAGCAGGTTGCTTTCTAGCCCAGCTCCAGGAACGGGCAGCTGAGAGGATGCGGCACTGGGCAAAGGAGCCTCCAAATCTTCCTTCCTGGAGCTCTGAGCTTAGCTATGAAATTCCACAGAGTTTTGCAACAGCCAGTCCCAGGAACATGGTCTGTGCTGTCTCTGCCTAAGCACCAGTCCCGTAGTCTATGAGACCCTCAAACACACACACACACACACACACACACACACACACACGCACGCACGCACACACACACACACACACACATGCACACACACACACACACACACACACACACACACACTCTGATCTGCAGATCCAGACTCTGCCACACACAGCAGCACCTCGAATGAGGGCATATGGACATTTGGAGTAATTATCCCCTATTCAGGTACCCTGGCTTAAAAAAAAAAAAGACTCAATGTGAGAATGGGTTCAGGATAGACTCAGTGCCTCTAGGGGAAGCAGGCCATGCCTCTGACCAGGACCTGCCTCTGCAGGTGTGTGGCAGCCTTGGCCCGGGCTGGGCAGACTGTGTTGGGACAGAGCCACTCAGCACAGAACACCGGGGAACATTCAGGAATCCTGCTCAAAGGATCTGGAGAAAGGGAGGCAATGCCAGGGGGGCTGCTGCTGGAGCTTTCTTGGCTTGTTTTGGGGTCACACTCAGAGGTGCTCAGGGCTTACTCTGGGCTCTGGGTTCAGGGGTCACTCCTGGCAGTGCTTGGGGGAGGCTATGGGGTGCCGGGTATTGAACCCGAGTTGGCCAAGTGCAAGGCAAGTGCTTTACCAACTGTTCTAATTCTCTGCCCCCCACCAGGGCTGCTTAGTGACAATTAAATGCTTTAAAACCGTGAGCCTGACGGTGGGTGCTTTAAAGACAAATGCAATTAATTACAAAGATGGGCTGAAGCAGATTTTCAAGACAAGTCAACAGAAAAAGACGAGCATAAATGGAGGCCGAGTGTAAAATTTAAAATATTTTTGCCTCTTTCAACATGCCAGGACTGAATTTAAAGACTGTTTCGGGGAGGGGGGTCACAATTTCACTCCCATGCTCAACTGTTCTACTTCCACCTGTTTATCTTGCAAGGGCCTCATCCCATTAAGAAGGCCTAGAACCTTCTTGCTTTTCACACAGCCGACACCAGTAAGTGATGTTTGGCTTCCTTCCTTCCTATTTGGGGCTTCCAAGCAGTGCTTGGGGGATGGGTCCCCTCCAGGAGCTGCTTGGACTGCCTGTGAGGTGGGCTGAGGCAGTGCTCTGGGGTGCTTGGACCCCATAATCCTGGGGGATACCAGGTCATGCTCAGCGGCACTGAGGGGGGGTGGTGGTGGGAGAGGGCAAAAATACTGGATCAAACCTGGAACCCAAGCATGCAAGTTATGTCCCCCACCCCTCTGAGCTACCCCCAACCCCCCACTCTCTTTCTTGAGGAAAAAGAAAACCTGTGGTTCTAGAAGTTCTGCAGAACCCAGCAGTCTCATAACGGCTTTCCCAGCGACTTAGCACCCCTGTTTGACTATTTCAAACAGGGGTGCTAGTTTTCAGTTTTAGCGGACGTTTAGACACGCGTCCGGATTTCTTTCTAAAGTGGAGAAGAGCAAAAGCACAGGCTCAACCTGTGAACCCCGATGTCTAACGGGGTGTCCTGGATCTCTCAACATGAGCGCCAGACGCTGGACACGCTGGGTGGGCTACGGGCAGAAGGTGGGTCTAGAAGGGGTGAGGACCAATGAGCCTTGTGTGTGCTCTCTCAGACCCGCCTTCCTCTGAGTGCCCCCTTCCCCTTGCAG